AGCCACGGGCAAAGAGCCCTTTAGCTCGCCCTTCGGCTCGTGCCTCTGTCAAGGTGCTTTCTTAAATACTTGATTGCAGTCAATCACAGTCAAACAATGCCCTTTCCTCTCCCTCTCTCAATCAGCCAGGAATCTGCAACAACTCCAAGCGCTTCCCCACACTCCCAGACCAGTTCTCCCACCAATATCCTCAGCTGAATCCTCTCAGCTGAAAGCAAGTAAAAAACCACTCACCCCTCTGTCTCCTGCTCCTGCTCAGAGCTCTCTCTGGGTCTCAACCCTTATATTTCAATAAAATGTGCAACCAACATTAAATCCACTTGTCATGTGCATAATGTGTGGGACTTTTGCTTCTGTTTGTATTCATCCACATACATTAAAATGAAATTTCTGCAGAAGCTAAAGTAGTCCCACTGCTCTCCCTCTGTGAGGACCATGTGATCAAGATTTCAAAACAAGAAGGAACACCAAAAATGTAGTGCTAGGAAGTTTCATATGTAATGAAACAATGATGTGTTCTTTTAAAAGAAACAATTCTTTATTTAAAATAGTGAAGGCAACGCCCTGAGGGTGCTAAGGTTCTTTGACTTGTGTGGCTAGCCAGTACACCACACAGTGAGAGAGACTATCCAGGCAGTAAAGGGTAGATAAAAGTTTTATTTGAATAAGGGACATCTTACAGCTAAACATTCAGCTCAGATGTCCAGTGAGTAACAGCAGGGATCTGGCTTATATGCTTTTCTTGCTCCTCCCAACTTTACATCATTGTTGACATTATTTGCACATGCTCAGTTTAAGTTTCTTTGTCTCAACGGTCATTTATCAAGCGTTTGACAAACAAGAGGCTACCTGGCTGCATTTCAGCCTTACAGTGCAGGTGTTCATCTTGTTAAAAATGATTAATGATTCTTACTGGCTATTCTGCCAGACTTGCTCCACCTTTGAGTGAACTTTTAGGCTGAATTCATTCTCAATACAAAATCTAGCTGTTCCCATTACAAGAATAGTTTATCTACATCAGGGGTCATTTCGTAGAAAAAGAGCTAGGGGGACTCATTAGCATAACTCATTAGCATATGCCACACCCCCTGACATCACCGGAAGTGTGTCCTCCCCACAGCCGGCGGCGACCTCCAGCAGGCACCAGCAGGGAGCTCCAGGCCCCGCCCTCCCGCACCTCACCCGGGGGATGGCGTCCCCCCGCATCCCCCCCAAATGACCCCTGATCTACATTATTACATGCATATGTGTATAAAAGCACTTTTAAAGCATTTCTATAAGCTTATTTTCACTAAGGGTATACAAAATGTAAAGAATTGGAAACATATCATTACAGTGACATTCTAAAGAATTAAACCCTTTACATGTATTCTTTTAATATTTCAAATTAGCCTATGGCATAAAGCTTTCATAGATCCCTTAAATCCGTCTATTTTTTTTCATTTTAACCCATCAGAAGAGTTTTGCTGATGTTTATAAAGTATTAAATCTAAATTAAAGCTTCTGGTTTTGTTAAATATGCTGTTTTTAGTTTGGCCAGTAGGGTCCTTCTTGTATAACATAAGTTCTGCATTCTTAATTGGCCTCTAATTAATGACAGGTGTGCATGATTAATAGCTCCTACTTCATTAGCTTTTTGAACTGTCTTTAGCCATATCCGAACCTCTGCTTGTTAGCAGTTTGCCAATCTTAAGCACAGTTCCTTAGTAGAGAATTAAGAATTTAACTAGTTTTCTCTTTTTTTAATAAACATTCAGAAATATTTTATACCATAAGCTTTCATTCTTAGCCACAAACAAAATATAAAGTTTGTATTTTACTTTTTCTAACCGTCAGAAGAGGGTATTTACAATTATCCTCTCTTTCACCCCAATTAGGCTTTTTGACCAATTATTAAATTCTTTTTCACTGGGCATCTCTTGCCAGCTCAGTTCATTAAGTGTATAACTATTTCTCTGTGTAAGCAAACAAACAATCCGTTTTTGCCTTAAAATAATAAGCTGCTAAAAGGTGCATATATTTAGATAGCTTATAATTCCTATAGTTCAATATTTATATTACTATGACAGCTCATTAGGTGGTGAATGGTGGTGAAAAGTACCATCCTAATTAAAAAGTTGACTGATATTTCCTAGAACAGAAACACCTGTCCATTAGGAAATTCCTCTTCTGCCAATTAAATTGGATATAAAACACCTATTTCTACAGTTCTGCTTAGTGTTTAATGATTTGTTAGCTTATTTCTGGAGAATCCCTAAGGTCCTTTTCCAGAGGCCCTCTGGAATCCCAGCAATAATTAATAGATGATCATTTGAACTTCTGGATTTACTTTATATCCACATGGGTTCCCTCCTCCTGGTTTACAAATGAAGAATGGAGGAAAGTATTATTTATTGATCCTGTCAGCTTGTAAAGAGTTAAGCTCTGTACAAGCTCAAAACTGGAGGCCAAAAACCTTTCAGTGGGCCCATGGAATGGGTGCCAGTAGATAATGACAAACAACCCCTATTGCAACTCAGAATAAGTTCTTTAACAGTACATTCTAACAATATACTTAGAATATGAGGGTGGTCACAATTTTGCAGATAGTCTAGAAAACGTAACGGTGCTGTTACTTATGACTGCATTCAAATGGCTTAATTAACTTGGGTTAAGTAAAATTTACATGGCTTATTGCTGGGCTTTCTTGCACATCTCCTCACTCCCCTCTGCTCCTTTCTGAGAGGTGGGGAATTGCATTTAAAACTAACTCTGATTATTCATGATACACAAGTGCAAGTGTATGTATGCCTTAATTGGAATTAATTGCCTCCCTCCCTTTAACTGTGAATCCAAGTCTATAATACTAGTTAGTGGAGGTACATCTGATACTGGTTAATCTGTGCACTTGCATTTGTACATCGCAGATAACTGGAGTTAATTTTTAACAACAATTCTCCTTGCAAGAGGGGAGGATGAAGAACAAGACATTGCATGTGAGTCAAGACATCTAAATGCAGCCTGCATGTACACTAAAAGCACCCTAATCTGGGAGAACCAGGTTTGATTCCCCACCCCTCCACGCGCAGCTGCTGGATGACCTTGGGCAAGCCATAGTTCTGTCAGAGATGTTGTTGAAAGGAGCAGTTTCTGTCAGAGCTCTCTCAGCCCCACCTACCTCACGGGGTGTCTGTTGTGGGGAGGGGAAGGGAAAGGATTTTGTAAGCCGCTCTGAGACTCCAAGTGAAGGGCGGGGTATAAATCCAATCTCCTCCTCCTCTTCTTCTAAACAGGGAGTATCAATGAGATCATCTCCCAGGACTTAATAGCTGTTCAGTATTTGTTGAGAAGTGAGTACCTCCAAAGTTCCTCGGCTCTCAGGTGGTGGTCTTCAACCCACTGGTCAAAAAGCTCACTTGAGAGAAAGGATGAATACCACTGCTATAGGTTACCAGGATATGGGCAGTAGGAGACAATTAGTTCAGTTTATGGAGTTGCTGCTGATTGTGTCACTTTATAATGAAGTCACATATTAGTAATGTGCTTTTTCCTTTCTTTGTCACTTTATTTAAAGGTGTCCTCAAAATCACCCAAAATTGTGCAGTCACGCCGTAAACCCTCAAGGTAAGTATCAACATCAGATTACATTATTTCATTGATAGACTTTCTTCTGAAATCCAAAATATTAAGGATATTCAAATCCTTCTCTATTATTTCAATAAATATTTCAGCCATGATGAAAATTAACTTCACTTGTTTAGGACATTTTCCTGCAAAGGCAGATACACTGCAATTGGCTTGCCAAATACTTGTTGTGCATGTTGTTTCATGTGCTGGGCTCTGATAGTATTATGGGTTGTTACCCATTTAATAAGAGCTGCCTTAACTGTTCATGGCTTGAAATTAAAAACCTTTCTCTTCTGAAGTAAGACACGTTGTTTTGTTTTTGTTTTCCCTTTTAAACATAGGCACGTATCTACCCATTCTTAGTCTTTAGGGAAATGTTTTTATGTGTTGTTGCTATTTTACATGGTACCATGCTATTATTAATATTTATTCCGTTTAAAGTGTCATGCACAACATCCTGTGCAAGAAGTCCATGCATTGCTTTTTGTTTGCTTATCTGGATCCATAATCACCTTTTGGTAACCAGTTTCTGCATCTGGGACACTTACTTGAAATGTATTCTGCTCAGGACAATTAAAATCACATTTATTACTTGCATCAGAAAAAGCAGTGTGTTTCTTTAACTCCTTGTGCATTGTTCTGCAGAATTGATACTAATTACCAACATTTTGGCCCCTCAGAAAGCTTGAATGGCCTACACATGCACACATGCATACTCACTGTCACGTTTGTGTTACATGTTGCTTACTTATCCTCACAAAAGCAGATTTACTCAATTCTTTACCAGCTATACTGGTCACCAATATGCTTCCAAGATGCTGGTCCTTACTTTTAAAGCCTGCATAGCTTGGGACCCACATACGTGAAGGTTCAACTCTCTACATGCCGGCCCCACATTCATTGAAGTTGGATCAGCAGGTCAGATACCCCTTTCTCTCATTGGGTGCAGTCTGTGGTAATGAAAGGGCTTTTCTCTTTTTGGAATAGTTGACCAGAGGAACATTGGGAAGGCTTACTCCCTCCTTCCATTTAGAATAGGATCAGGTGCATTTCTGTTTAGAATATATTTGGGATCATTCAAGATTGGATTTGCAGAGTACAGTCTGTAGGTATGATTGGATTTTGATTGTCTGTAAATATTTGCTGCAGATATTTGATCTGTAGTTATTCAGTAATTGTTTTGAGGCAAAGTTGTTACTGGTTTTAATTCTGGGTTGTTGGATTACAATGCTTGTGGTGGTTGTTGGATGTAAACTGACCTGAGCATTACAGAAAGATGGTCTACTAGATAAGCCAAAGTCTCTTTCATTATTATGGTCACTGGTTATTGCTGGGTTTCATATCTCTACTCTCAACATAGACAAGGCAGTGCTTTGGTGAAAGGAAGGCAGAAGGGTCACTTTGGGTAGCACAGAGATGTTGGAAATTAACTTCCCCTGCCTTGGAGGAGTCAATGATTTAATAATGATGTTGTTCTTGAAATCACTCCCTACCTGGCAAAGAGCTTCAGTGTGTCCTTGGCAGGCCAGCTCCAAGCCCTTTTTCAGATGATGTTATTCATCTGGACCCATTTCATTCCAGCTTTCACATTTGGATTTGGCACAGAAACCTCATCAGTCTTTCTGACTGAAAAACTTTATTAGACAGAGACCTGTCAGATGGTCCTTGGCTTCTTCTAGATGGATTGTACTCCCATTAGAGAAAAAGTCCACAGTTTTGAGGATACTTTTTGAGCCAGTCTTATCTTTAGATGTGAAGATGGTTTCCATGGTTTGAAGCAACCTTAAATCATTTGGTATGACAGTTATACTCTATGGTGGTGGACAGGAGAAGATTCTACCCCATTTATCTCTGTTCAGCATGGACAAGCTGGATTTGAAAGACTGAATTGAATGCTGAAGGGGGGGAACTCTGATGAGTTTAACAATTAAAAACTAGTGGACAAAAAGGGGAAATGAAATTTGGAGGGAGAAGGGATAGGAGGAATCCCAACTAGGCATAGGTTCCAGTAGGGACTGTAGTGTATGATTTTAGGCATTTTTTGGATTGTTAAAGCTGTCTAGTTATTGTCTGAAACACTAGAAGAATAAACATTGCAATGATCAAGTACAACGCACCTCCCAGCTCTGGTAATGGTGTAATCTATCAGACCCTAAGTAGGAAGGCCAACCAGGGCTTTTTTGTAGAAAAAGCCCAGCAATACAACGCACCTCCCAGCTCTGGTAATGGTGTAATCTATCAGACCCTAAGTAGGAAGGCCAACCAGGGCTTTTTTGTAGAAAAAGCCCAGCAGGAACTCATTAGCATATTAGGCCACACCCAACAGCAGAAATTCATTAGCATATTAAGCCACACCCCTGACATCACAGCTCATTAGTATATTAGACCACACCCCCATGTTACCACACTCACCTTTTGCTTCTTATTCTGTTTACCTTGTTTGTTGTCAAAACCCTGGGCTTTTTTTGTAGCAGGAACTTCTTTGCATGTTAGACCACACACCCCTAATGTAGCCAATCCTAATGAGTTTCTGCTGTTAGGTGTGGCCTATTATGCTAATGAATTCCTTCTGGGCGTGGCCAACTCAGGAGCTAGCCGGAACTCCATTCCTGTGCGTTTCTGCCCAAAAATAGCCCTGCCTACAACTAAATAAACAGGTTTTTGTTCTATGTGTCTCCAATGTTCATCAGCATAGCTTCTGTGCAGACCCATATGGGACTGCGATACTGCAGGCCAGCCACCGGGAGGAACTAGTGAGCTCATAAGATAGTAATTTCTTCCCAAGAGTGCTTGGCTCCTACCCAGGGTACCAACTTCCTGCCCCAAAATCACATGATCTGGGAGGAGCCAGCACTCTTCCCTCAGTTCTCTTTTTGCTGCCACTGAAAGAGGATGTATTTCAGTGAGCTGACTACTTCTGAGGTAAAATGATGGCCTCAGAGAAACAGAAAGTGGCCTTGTTCAAAAAATGCCATACCTGTGGGGCGAAGATGGCTCAATCAGATGAGTACTCGTCTTGCCTTTTATGCCTTGGAGAAACCCACAATACAGCTACATGTAAGGCCTGTAAGGCTTTAACACCTCGGGCCCGTGAGGGCAGAGCAGCACATTTGAAGGCCGCTCTGTGGGGAAAGGCTTTGGCAGCGCCAGAACCTCCGGCTAATCGGGACGCTGCAGAGGAGGGAAGCTCCAGACCACCTTCGGTGAGTTCCGCCCTGACTCCTGCGCTGGCCCAGGCCACCTCAGCTGGGTCTGAACCACCCTCCCCCCCAAAAAAAGGCAAAAAAGAAGTGTGCTTATGAATGGCGTTAGCCGCCATCGCCAACACCGTGGAACGAGGAGTGGACATCAGGCTTGACGTTGGCTCAGTGCCGTCATTCACCCTTGCCTCTGTGCTGAAAACTGGTTGGTACCAACAGTCATCTGGCATCGAGGGGCCATTCCCCACCTTGGCACCATTCCACATTGATGTCTCCCTGGTACCGATCCCCGTTGGTACCGATGATTTTCGACAATGGCTCCCTGTATTCGACGAGGTCTTCCCACTGGCTCTGATCCCCATCTTTGGATGTGTTGCTGGTACATCCTTCCAGCCTGGAACCGGTGTTCAGTCCCCTTCCCCCCCCCCCAGTATATTTATTAGATTTTCAAACAAATTAAGACATACATATACACACTGACATACTCAACAACACATACATGAAATTAAATTTAAATTTTGTATCGTAACACAGTTGAGCCAAAAAAGAGAAAATACAATCAAATAGTTCTTTCTCAATTACACCTACTAACTCCTATACCACGGTATTTAAAGTACTTCACCTTTGAGTACACTCTTCTGTTAATACTATTTTTTAAAGATTTAACAACACCAATTTTATGATTTAACAATACAAGTTTCACATTACGTGGCTTTTTTTTTTTTGGAAAATTATTCATATTACTCTATCTATTCACTATTCCATTATAACAAGCGGTTTCAGGTCAAGTTTTCCCAGCTAGACATATATCAACAAAAGACAAACATTATACATAGTTCATATAGTTTAATCTTTCTTCTATGAATCTGTAGTCTACTTTTTTGGAGTAACATGTCTACATGTCTCCTTTCTTTGAATGCGTAAAAAGTTTTTCCTGGCCTCATTCTTCTAACTTTCAGCCATACCAATTCCAAAGTTTTATTGTCCATTTTCAGTTTCCCAACATGATGTTTTTTTTCTCTCTCTTTTCGGATTCCTTTGTCCTGTAAAACAAAATCCATGCACCTTCTTTTTTGGAGCCTCTGGTTTTAAATGGGGGGAATTTGCTGATTTCTTTCCTTTTATTTTGGTTGGAATAAGTTCAAATTCTAAATGCTCTTCTGTTTGATAACATTCTATAGTCTCTATGTCCCTCTGTGAACCCTGTTCCAAATTTTCCTCTTTCTCTGTCATTTCCATTAAGTTAACATGGACTTCTTCTTTGTTTAGCATAAGTTGGAACTCAGAGCTTTCTTCGTTTTCATCTTCTTTCTTTGTTTCCACTTGTGGGTTATGTGGTGTTTTTTATAAATTTACACAAGCTTTTTCAAAACCCTTCTGAATTTGCTCCCTTAAAACCCTTAGGAACTGTTCCACAGATAAATCTCCCACAAGCATATTCTCATCCAGTTCCTCCTCCTCCTCCTCTTGTGTTACCAGTGCCATTTAAATGGGAAAAACGCAGCTCAATTCAGTTTAATTCACTCAAGTCTATAGTAGGTTCTTGCCATAAAAAGAAAAAACAAGAAAAACTCTCCAAAGTTGCAAGCACTCCAGAAACATACAAACAGCTCCCAATCCTCTTCTGGTTGCTAATCCTCTTCTTTCTGAGCAAATCGCCTAGAGGTGATATTACCTCCACTCTTCTCTATTTCCGAATTAGAAGATAAATGTACTCACAGTTCGTTTTTCAGGCTTGTTCCTCTGTGTTATTGTTGTGGAAATTAAATCCAATCATAGTTAAAAAGTGGATGGTCA